CTAAGTAATTGTATACCCAAACAATCACAGGACACGTCTTCGGCAAAAATATTGCAGCAGAAATATACTGCATTTAGTATATTTGTCTCTAATCCATTAGTAATGTTTATTAAAACAAGATCTAGATCGAACGTGTGGGCGATTGTTACTACGTCGAAGAACCTCTCATGTCTTATCTATTGTTGGGTAATTCGTAAGCTAATCGAAGCAATCTGGGCGGCCTGCTTATGGGCAGAATAATCATTGGGTGAACAAGTTCATGGTGCTCATGTAATGCTAAACTGTAACGACGGCAGTCCGTCATATTTCAATGATCGTACTTTAATATGAATAACATTATTATTACGTAGAATGACACAAGCCTACAAGAAAATATACCTGCATCAAAAACTTTTCAACAATTCACTAAACTTATTACGTACGAAATACTGACTATTGGCGAGTGTACAATATTTAAACTATCTGCAGAAAATCTGATATCATTAAATTTGTTTGTATCTCTAATTAGTCTTTTGTTTTCAACACAAACCTACTTAAAAATACTTTAATGAAATTCGTTCATTAAAAGAAAAACAAAACGAAGACGGCCTCCAACTCCCATATGAAATTCATACCATGACATAATTGTGCGACTCTTCACACAATTACGGGTTAATTACCTGAATAGTTAACTCATCTGTTAGTTAACCCATTGTGTTAGGGTTCATTGAATGACGAAATGGAACCTTCACCCAGATACGGGTGTGTCACATCAATCTTGTGTGACGATTAATAATAAAATTCTTATTGCTTTGTGGATCGGAATCATCAGCTATTGTATTTGATGTGTTACTTTTGTACATACAGCTCGTAAGTGTAGAGAGCTTCAATACAGATAATATTACGGACTATTCTGCCGCCGTTAGGTAGAAGGGCGCTAGTGACAAAAACTGAAAATCGAGACAATAATGTTTATTATTAATATGTTTAAAACTAATTTAACAACTGTTAATTTTCATGTTTGCTTTATTTTGTAATTATTTAAGTACACGTATCTTATGCCTATCTTTCTTACGTCTGCTTAGAGGTGTAAGGGTGAGAGCCTGGTGCTGTGTTTGTGTACACAGGTTAATCCTAGTATAGACACCAGACTTTCACAAATGAAACTATATTCAAGAACATGTGAGGACCATAGGTACGTATAAGTATAAGTTTTTTTTTGTGAAAGTAATGAAGACATTTTCATTATCATTTAATTTAATTCTTTATGAAATTAAAAGGATATCTATTTTTCTCTTGCCGTAATAATCACACCTTTCCACCAACAAAAATATAAAAATAGTGCCAGATCGCCGTTTTTTACCGCACTAAAGCGAGAAAGAAATATGTATGTTTGCACAGTGAATAAAAATACGAAATACGTTATAATTGTTAATATAAAGATAGAATCCACAAAAAAATCATCCCTATGCCAAACTAGGGCTACTTCAGAAGCTTCATAATTCTCTTACAGGACCACTCACAGCTATAAAAAGCGAAAAAATACAAAAAACAGATAAAGATAGAATTCGAAAGGTCTCGTAACTCGATCTGTAATACAGTTGATGTGGTGATTTTGAAGGGGTGCTGGTGAAATTACAAGCACATGGGAACAGTCAACTTATTATGTCTCAGGGTGATGGGCGCAGTGTCAGTTACCCCCTCATACCTTTGAGATTGAAAATTCTGAGTGGCACTGGAACTGCTATAGATAGACGTGTCACTTACCACCAGGCGCACTACTTCATCGTGACGTCACTTGGTATCATAAAAACAACTGTTCTGCACTCAGCTACCATCGCTCCATGATCATACAACTGGTTACTAATTAATAAAATTACCTATACACAAATTGCCTAATCACGATAAACACTAATTCTTAAAATTCAGTAATAGTGAGTAAACATATCTAAAAATAACTGACGTGACACGTGCCTCATCAAACAAGTTAGTTAAGCTCTTCAACCATACATCCCAATCGCCGCAGGTTTTTTCAATAGGCCAACTTCTAATGGAACCACAAATTGTTTATAACCTTTGTTTCGACGAACTCATTCATGTGCTTATGAGCGATATGAAAAATCCATCTTGTTAGGCAATGTATAATCCGGTATTTTGAAACGTATCGGTGATTTATGTAGTATGTGCAAGAGGGGTAGATAAAACAGAAAGGTAATTTAAGGTTGGAATTTTTGTTGCACGAAACTACTCGTTGGAGTAATACAAACATATTTTATGAAATTCGTTGAAGCAAGTCAAATAAGAAAATAACTTATGGCACTATACGAATGACAGTATTAATATATTTTTTTATAATATCTAGTGACGGGACGAACAAGTCGTACGCCTGATGCTAAGCGACACGCTTGTCCATAGCAGTTGCAATGCCACTCAGAACTTTAAACCACAAAGATCTGAGGGACACTGCCACTGCGTCTGTCATTGTTTTTATTTACTCATAAAACCAAATTGATCGAATAGGAACATTTTAAATGAAATAACAAACTTTTTCGTAACTTGATAAGGTGCCCATGGTAAAACCAGACAGGTTTTATGTATCAAACCTAAAACCAAACAAAATACCTACTTAGTATAAAGGTCCGACCGTATTATAGCTCTTATAGACCTAACTGAGCTCCACACAAATGAACAGAAATCCGTTAACGGTAACTAAAGTTACCAACCAACATTTATTAGCCTGAAATTCCGGAGTTTATGTAAAATTGCAATCCGTATTATAAAACAGGAGTTCATAAAGTGGCGTCACTGGCGCGTGCGCATCGTAAAACCGGCGGGTAATAGATTCTACGTCTATAAGGAAATCGTTTTAATACAGAGATGTAAAGATAATTTTGAAATAATGTGTGGTGTATCTGGTTTCTAAACTAACTCGAAGAACGCGTAGTAATTTATATTAACTATTATAATTTTGGTTTGTGTCGAGTAGAGACAATTTTTTTATTTTCTATTTAAGCCAAACTAATTTAAGCGCAATTTTAATTGACTTTTGATGATAATTCTCGTATTTATAATTTAAAAATATAAAAAAATATTCACATTATTTTTTTTTCATGGCGTACGAGTATAAGCAAAAATGTTCTTAAGTGAATTATGTGCAGAATGCCAATCTAAAAGCTTAAAGCTTGGAACAATACCATATACTATATACACAGTAATTTCAATCCCGTCTTACTAACAATGCAGGTCCATAAAACATTTGGCAACAGATCAAAGATCACGCAATTAATTGTACTTTGTCGATTTCTAGATACGGAGAAACGGATCCGTAGGACTCTGTCACGATGCGACAAATTCACCGTCGATTTTCAATTATTATCGTGAAGTAATTGGTAAGAAGGTTTGTCGCAACTGTCCAAAGGAACATTTGGGGACGACTGGGGCAATAGTTGCGTAAGATTCGGATGGCGATGAAATTAACATCTTGCAACGTCAGCTTATTATTTGTTAACCACCGTTATTAGTTATTTCGTCAATCACTGTCATTATTATGACCAAACAAGCTTTATTAGCTATCAATGCGTACGGTGATTATTGTCATATTATGTCAGTGGGCTTGTTTATTTGAAAGACGTCTTCGTGGTGGTCTAATATTGGAATTATCATGGTACTTACATTTTCTACAGCACAATGTTTGTCAACAATCTTTTCTTTGATGTTTTGTCGGCAAAAACAATGTAATTTATAGTTTCAGTACAGAGTACTAAAAAAACTGACCTCAAAAGTCATTCATCCCCTAGTTTGCCACCCTTCGAGATGGAATATTTTTTCAAATTTGAATGGGACCACCATTCAGATTCCCTCTTTCCAACAAAAAAAATCATCAAAATCGGTTCACAAAGAGTTATCACGTAACAAAAGTACAAAAAAACATACAGTCCAATTGAGAATCTCTTCCTTTTTGGAAGTCGGTTACAAATAACGGCTACTTCAGTTGCTAAAAGTAATGGCCTACAACTTCAGTGGCTCTACAGTTTGTAATGTAAGCGTTTGATGTGCAGGTCCTGGTTTCGTATCCCGATAAGACCAATTAGGGAAATTATTTTTTCGAAATTTGTTCTAGCCCAGATACCAGATAATTGGTAAAATTATCCGGCCACATTATTATTATTAATGTGTAACCCACCAGTTATGTAAATCGGATCTTGTTTTTGTCGTTATTTCAGCTTTGATTAGTAACACAGAATTTAATGACATTTTCAACATTTATCAGCAATACATATACATCTCACTGCTGGGCACGGGTCACGCAGGCAGGCTACTGTCCACCATGCTCCCTAATGCCAGTTTTCAACTTCACTAGTCAATAATGAATTTGGCATATCTTCTCCTATATGCAGGTTTCAACACTATAATTTCCTTCATTGTCCAAGCAAGTTATTATTACATATGTATTTATAACTTTTTTGTAAAAAGAACGGATTTAAGAATTTGTGGAATTACATGTATTTGCCAAGTTTTATTGAAATCGGTTAACGGTTTTTTTTATAACATCAAGTGACGGCGCGAACAAGCTGTGCGCCTGATAGTAAGCTACACGCCCGTCCATGACACTTACAGTTCCACTCAGAGCTTTAAATTGCAAAGATCTGAGGGGCACTGCCACTGCGCTGTCACCCTGAGACGTAAGTTCGGAACGTAAACCGGAACACAGTAATGCTGACATTACTGCTTGGCGGCAGAAACGGGTAAGGTGGCAGTACTACCCTGGACAAACTTTTTCACAAGGAGCTCTACTGCTACGTAAAGTTATTTCTTTTCTAGCAAAAAATAATCATCGAAATCGGTTCACTAATATCGCAGTAATCGAGTAACATACACACAAAAAAATACAGCCGAATTGAGAACCCCTTCTTTTCTTGAAATCGGTTAACAACGAAACATAAGTCTGACACATGTTTAAAATTGACTTCGCAGTTGTGTCTACAAAAAACATACACTAACAATGTATATTTTGTTTCCAGTGTTACATCACCGCCGCCAAGCTGTCTACCGCAAATGAGCTTATACCGAGATACCACATCCAAGCGCTAATAGGTAAGTTACTAATGCTCATCTATAATCATCATCTCTAATATTCCTTTCATCATTTAAGTAAACATATGTAGTTAAACTTTGAAGGTTTTGGGATTGTTTGAACTCCTGTAAAAAATATTTAACTAAATATAGAATAAGGATCATACGTATTATTGCATCATCGTTCACTCATTATTACATAGGGTGTAATCGTTAAGTGTACCCAGGCGATTATTTCGTAAATATAAAAAATATCAATAACATTCAAATTGATATCGAAAGTACTTTATCAAATAAGTAAACCACTCTCTACGAATATCATATTGAATGTATGGGAGCGATTAACATTTAAATTTTGGGTATTTCTAGTTTTATTTTTAAAAAGTTTTTAATATCGTTTTACTCATTAGGTAATGTACTTCGATATCAGTTTAAAAGTTTTTGATATCTTTTATATTTACGGAATAATCGCCTGCCACACTTAACGGTGACAACCTGTATAATGAGTACACATGTGTGATTATGGAGCATGTATCATACACTTTTTTAAAACGTCATTGCAAACCCAAGGACCAACTAGTTGTTGAAAGATTATCTAAACAAAGGCTTTTACCGATTTAAAGTTCTGAGCGGCATTGCACATGTTATGAACGGGCGTGTCGCTTACCATCAGGTGCACGACTTGTTCGTCCCGTCTATTGGCATCCAAAAAAAAACAGTATTGAATTTAATTATTACAACAAAGATCGAAACACTAAGGCTCAACTCACACTGGCGTAGAGTCGAAGCGTCGCGACGTCATGTTTTTCGCCTATAGCATATTCATCCCTATTTTCCCATTATTAATGTACAAATTTGTGTTATGCAAATATGGAGTCGCGCAATGATGCGCATCGGCGTTTGGTTGCAATCGCGTCCTGTTTTTCAATTACAACACCTGGCGACGCCTCGACTCTGCGCCAGTGTGAGTTGAGCCTGAGAAAAATTTATTCGATCTGGCTGGCACCAGCATCCTCGGTCAATCCATGCCAGATACTCTGCCAATTAAGCCAAGGAACGAACCAGTAGATTTTACGAATTTTTCCATGTGTTTGTTGCAGATCTTTGTTTTTGGTTTTTGAAAAATTGTGAAAAATTTATTTCTTCACTCAGAGAAGTACCTTTACAGCTACCTTCGCTGCCTAGAGATGTCGATTTAATCATTGTAATTTTTAAATTTATTGAAGTCGCCAAAAGTCTTCAGGTTCATATTGACCGTTACATGGTTTTTTTAATTTATCGTGACTCGGTCAATAAAGAGATCTTCTACCCACCAGCTACAATTATCTACCAAAAATATATTACTGTGAATATTTAATTAGATATTTTTGTCGAGACTGTACTTATACTGTACACATCAAGAGATTTTATTGATAGGGATATGTGAAACTTCATTTTCACTTATCTCAACCAGCGACGATGTGGTAGGCGAAAAAGTTGGGGTCAGCTGGTAGGGTCAAGTGGAATAGGCCTGTTTTACAACCATGATTATTATGTACCATGTATTGAATTTATTTTACCAAAATATTTCATGAATTCGCCTAACCTGACACTACCTAACATTTCGTCCAACACAAATTAATTCAACCCAACTCGACCCTAAATAGAATATTAATAGCAAAATTCCGCTAATGTAATGCTCGCAGAGGCACAGAAAGGGCGATGGGTAAACTTTATAATGGCTACCAGAGCTTATTATAATAAACGTGGCGGGCCGCCAGCTACACGGTCTGACCTCCGGCTGCGATTAGCCGCTACCAGAGAAGGTACCTCGTTGTAATACCTCGTAACATGTTCTGGTCTCTCATGAACATGGACTGGAAGAGACATTGACTCAATAACATACATATTTCTTAACTGAATATATTTTAAAGTTTGAATTATCTATATTGTATAAATTTTGTCATCTTGTAATTATTGAATATCAGGATCTTTCACCACCACCGTGTACTTATTATAGTACATTTATTTTTTGTGAAATTACTCCACAAGTTTGTTATAATCAATCGAAGAAAAAATCTTTCGATCCGGCTGGATTCGAATCAGCTTCTCCTAGCAAACCAGTGCCAGATGCTATCAGACGCCATCTGAGCCACGGCCATTTTTAACCTACTTAAAAAAAAAGCAGAGGTTCTCAATACGACTGATTTTTTTTTTATGAACGTTACACGATAACTCCGGAATTTGTGAACCGATTTTGATGATTCTTTTTTTATTGGAAAGAGGGTACCTCAATAGTGATTTCGTTTCAATAGAAATTTCAAGAAAATATTCCATCTCTAAGGGTAGCAAAGTAGGAGATGAATGACTTTTGAGGTTGGTTTTTTACTGAGATTATGTCATCTCGTTTCTCTCCTATAGTCTGTTTCTGATTGTACTTAATAATCTCGTTGGTATATATGTGTCATTCCTAAGGGTTAGGACCTGGTGACTTGTAGTACAGTGTTAAAAGCCTTTAAAACTCCAGATCCTTCAAAATACATAATATGTCCCATAACTATTAAGACCTTTATGTACCTATTATTTGAAATAATCATTATTTTTAACAATTATACGTTCCATACGTTCCGAACGTTCTATAAGGAGTGGTTTTCAGGTCAATTATCTTTCTCACTGCAGTGCATGTTTATAGCCGTAATAATCTTCTACAGCATATAACCCTACAATAATAATAACAAAAGTTCGTATATTAAGTTAACATTGACACAATTAGTGTTAGTAACAGTTACTCTTAAATAAATAGTAAATTTAGTACACGTATAACAGAGAGGACTAAAACAACACACTAAATATGAACAGCAGATTTGTCCTGGTACAAAATTTTGTTATCATATTTAAATTTATAATTAATTAATTAATTCAAACCCGCAACGCAGTAATGCTCACATTACCGCTTGGCGGCAGAAATTGGTGAAGCGGCAATACTTCCCTGGACATACTCTTTCACACGGAGCTCTACTGCTACTAAAGACTACTACTACTATGGAGTAGGTCAATAACTACGAATGGTGTTATGAATAAAAAAGGAAATCATTTAATAGACGCTATCTAGATTCTTTACAGCCAACACCAATTGTCGGTTACTATACATGGGAGCGCACACGCATAACATGGGGCTATATATCGCATGGCAAACGACCAGGGAAATTCTCGCACATCCCACATTTCCAACTCGTTCGCACAAATTGGAGCAATTTCGCAAAGTACGGACACTTTAACCGTAACATAATCGAGCGTTCGCAATGTCATACATTGATTATTGATGAAAAACTGGTAATGAATAAACGATACATATGAATGTTACATTTAATTACCAGTCCAAAATTTATATGAAACAGGTATTAATACACACATGCATAACGGATAACGACTAAGCAAAGACGATTTTTCATAATCTCTGTAATCAAATACGAATACTGTCACAGAGTGACACTGCTACCAATCTCCAGAATTTGTTTTTAGAAGACAGTTCTGTGCGCCTGCATTAGGCACTTCGTATTTTGATTTTCAATTAAATAATACGGTAGATGTATAGAACATTTAATATAACTTCTTCGTCTAACCTTCAAAATTGATTTTTAGATAAAGAATCATAAAGAAAAAAAAGACAAAAATGAAAAAATTATAAATAATAAAAATAAAGATTTTTATAGGGTCATTCCAAAATATACGCAAAATTTTCAATTGTATTAAATTAAAAAATCTGAGTATTGTTGAACCTTACGAGTTGTCAGATTTTCGCAATTGCTACACATTGGAAATGAAACATTTTTTTCTATTTTTTGTTAAATAGCGTACATTTATTAAAAAAAACATAGTTCCATTTAAAACATAAATTTGAAACTTTTGGAACTATGTAATTTAACATGAATATGAAAAAATACGATCAACTAAACTAGTTTCCAGATCGCATTTATTTGATTAACTAATATCCAACATTAAAACAATTTCGTTTATGTAGAACGTGCTCACAGAAATGTCCACTTTAAATTGATAGAGCTGTTTTACAACTGCACGGCACTGATCGTTTCTAACAAATAAACGATACAATAAAAGATGGAAAGTCGTTTGTGTTATAAGTCGCGTATATTTAATTCTCCTCTGTTTGAGGTCACAAACTTATTTTGACACACGCCACATAATGAACTATAGTCACGCGATTGTTCAAGTCATGGAATGAGTTACAACTGGATTGGAATTAATATGCAATATTTTAAGATTAAATTGAATTTCTGTTTGATATCCATTATTCAAAGATTTCGAAACATGTAATTTAATTGACCGAATCTAATTTCAAAATGTAGATAACATTCCACAGTTAATATATTTCAGACTGTAAAAGATATAGCATGTATCCATATGGATAAACAAATATATAATTGAAACTCATACTCATCTGAAGTGTTATAGTATAATTTTAAACAGCGTTTGTTCCTTTCCATCAGGTGAAACGTTTGACTGTTCCCCGATCAATTAAACTAAATAAAGAAATTTTCAAAAGAAAAGAAAGAGTTTTACCCAAAAAAATCATATTAAAGTTACATGTCCATAGCTGTACAACTCCTGTAACAGCTGTAACGTTGCAAATGATCTGTGTCATCGTCATATCTCATAATGATAGTGTCCGTTTTTGACCTGTGCTTAGATCGTAAATATGGGTTTCGAATCTTGGAGCTGTTACAGACGGCGACATTAAGCAGCGGTGCAAACGCGATGCAAGCGGTCGACTGCATCGATACCAACGCGCGATTGTATCGCTTGGGATCTAGCGGCGGCTTTTTTATATATCGGTGACGGAACGAACAAGTCGTGCGTCTGATGGTAAATTACACGCCTGTCCATAACAGTTGCAGTGCCACTCAGAGTTTTAAAGCGCATTTCTGTGGGGCACTGCCACTGCTCCCGTCACCCTGAGACATACGTTGACAAGTCCCATGTGCCAGTAATTTCACCAGCACCCTTGACCCTTCAAAACCGGAACA